GGGAAAGAGAGAGAGAGAGAGAGAGAGAGAGAGAGTGTGTTGGGTAGGTGCACCACATGCATGCAGTTCCCAAAGAGACCACAAGGGGGGGAAGCATCAGATTCCCTTGAAGTGGAGTTATTAACAGTTGTGAGCTACCATGTGGTTGCTGGGAACCCAGGTCCTCTGCAAGAGCAGCCAATGCTCTTAACCGCTGAGCCAGTTCTCCAGCCCAATGTCACCTTCTTATACACCAGGTCGATGGGGCAGCCCACATTGATGTCCACAAAGTCCACATCAATTGTGCGGTTCAGGAGTTCCGCACACTTCGTCATTGTGTCCGGGAAGGCGCCCTCTAGCTGTGAGACACATTGCAGTCAGGGACTGATCCCCTCACCTGCTGTAGCAACCACCAGGTTGGGGAGGAGACATGGTGGACTCTGAGCTTTGCTCCCTGCCTCCCTTGGGGCTAAGACTGACCTGAACCCCAAAGATGTCCTCGCTGGGGTGTCTCTTCAGGAGGGCCCACTCAGACATCTGTCCCTGTAGCAGGTTGGTGCACACGGCCATCTCCCCACATGTCACGTCGGCACCGAAACGCTTGCAGATGCGTCGGAACGGCAGGTTCCCACACTGGGGCAGATAGGACAGGACACATACAGGTGCCAGGGCTCACCAGGCAACACCCCACAGTGCCCAGGGATCCACTGGACTGGCTGCCTACCGTGGTGAGCGGAGCCAGATACAGCTTCCCGCTGATGTCCAACTAGAAGGGAAGAAAGGAAACACCCATGAAAGCAGACCCTGCAGCCGGCTTATCTGCCTACAATCTAGAACGTTCTTTCCCCAACCCCATCTGGCCTAATTCCCTTCAGCTATGGGGTTCTCCACATGCTAAATTCTCTGCTCTTAGGAGAAATGATTTTTACTGCCCACTCTCCTGGCCAGAGAGCCTCCTATTCAACCTTCAAGCCCCAACCGCAATGCCTTCCATCAGGAACCTTCCATGTTGCCCTGTCCCCCTCAACAACCCTCTGGGACCGTGTCCAGCTCTTTCTGATCCTCCAACAGTTCCAAAATGGGATCATGGACAGACTTGGTGTCCATGTTGCAAGCTGTCACCCTTGACAGGGACCTGTACCCGTTTCTTCTCCGACGGCCGCATTCGGATCACATCCTCGTCAGTCAAAGGTCCACAGGTGGGCACCGGGCTGCTGGGCGGGATACCAGCCCCATGTCCTGCGAGGTCTGGTTGGGTGTCACAGCTGTTCTGCTCTGGGGTGGCCAGGTGGCGCAGGGCCTGTTCAGCTCGCTCAAAGGGTACCTGTCGCTTCCGCAACTGCTGCTGCAGTGCTCGATCCAGGCCATTGCGCACACGCGGGAGGAGTGTGCAATGGGCCACCAGCTCTTCCTGCACCAGGTTCTGACCCTCAGGTCCCAGGTGCGTCCCTGCAAAGCGACAGGTCACACCGTAGGGACACTTGCCAAAGGTGTCAAAGAGTACACAGCGGGGTCCCAGGTCAGCCGGCTTGCTCTCCAGGTAGCGGCCCACATCATGCAGGAAGCGGCAGCGGTCACCAAACACACAGGCAGAGGCTGAATCCTGCGGGGCGCACAGGGGACATGAAGGAAGACAGGGATGATGGAGCAGCCGGAGTGGCCAGGACTCTGTTCTCCGCCCAGCAGTGTGTATCTGCACTGATGTCAACGAGCCCAGTGTGCTGCACTTCAGAGTGGCACAAAAGTGATGCAGGCGCTAGGGGACTAATTGTGGTGGGGGCACAGGCCAATGCTGCAAAAGAAAAAATACAATTAAGGGGCTGGGCTCAGTGGACAGAGTGCTTGTAGCTCAGTGTGTAGAGTACCTGTAGCTCAGTGGGTATGGTGCCTGTAGCTCAGTGGGCAGAACATCAGTCTAACAAGCATGAAGCCCCAGATCCATCCCCAGCACCACAGAAACCAAGCATGGTGGCACACATCTGTCATTCCAGCATTCCGGAGGTGGAAGCAGGAGAATCAGGAATTCAGGGTCATCCTGGGCTACATAGAGAATTGGAGGCCAGCCTGGGCTATGTGAGACTTCATCTCAAAATATGTGAAAATGTATTCACGTAAAGCCAGGCCTGGCAGTCACAGCTGTCATCTTAGTGCTTAGGAAGCTGAAGCAAGAGGGTTGAGCTTTCTGAGCCAGCCTGGGCTAACATGAGACCATGTCTCAGAAAAGAGTATCTTAATGGGTATTATATGAGCCTGGAAATGGCCAAAACTCTCTTCAATGAATAACACTTCTGCACCCAACAAGAAGTCAAAATATAAGTCCAGCCATTGTAAGTCAAGGGCCCTAGGTATATATGTCATCACACAGTGATCACCAGGATTGAGAGGGGACAGAGACCCCCCCAGATGGAAGACCCAGAAACTGGCTGCTGTCACCTGGACCAGGGATGGGCAGAGCCTGTCCTTGTCGTAGTGTGTGGGTTTCACGTGGGGCCGGCTCTTGTTCTGGCCCCGGGCCCTCTTGGGGGCGTGTGGTTGCTCAGCTGCCCCCTGGGTCTCCCCATTTTCCTCCTGTTTTTCTTCCAGGCGGATCTTCTTGGCCTCGGGCTCGGCTGGCTCACTGCCATCAGGGTCTCTTGTCCCAGTTTCCTGGCTGACCTGCTTGTTTGCAACCAGATATTCGTGGAAGCGTTCCTTGGTGGTACAGTATCTGTCAGAGAGGGAGGATAAAGAAGGTTTGCACAGGGAGCTGATCCTCCTGGGAGCTCCGCGTCGTTAAAGGGAGGTGAGGATAAATGTCCCTGCTGACAGGGAGGACAGGAGGAGACTCACTACTTGGAACGAGCCAACTCCCACCCTAGGAGAACCTCAATGCCAGAGCGAGAATTTATTTTGTGTTTGAAAGGTTTATTTTTGTCCCTAGGTCCCCACACTACTCTGAAAATTGCACTTTATTACAAGTTATCAGGTACAAATAATTACTGTCCACGTTAGGCTAGATAGGAACTACAAGTCCCAGCATGCATTGCAATGAGGGCCAAGTCGCCACGTTTGCCAGGATGCCTTTCGGCACAACAAAGTATCCATCTGTAACTAAGGCTCAAGTAGCGATACACACGCGCCATCTTTCCACCGCTTTAAGTAGGGACTACAGTCCCCAGCATCCACCCCGAGTCCCGCCTCTAGTTTCCGCCCGCTGTACACGCGTGCGGCTAGCCCTCAAGCGTGTGACAGCCACTAGCGTGCACTGTCGCCAAGAGTGAGTGAAGGGCCGATAGAAAACGGAAGCGTTGCCGAGTGTCCTCCGGCTAGTCACTGCCACACCACCCGGCATGCATCACTCGCGCCGCTCTACGGATGCCGAGAAAACCCATAAACTTTGTCCGCACCGCGCTGGCGACTCACTGCGTTTTAATGGGTGCCACTCCCCGCTCGGCCGCACTGACTCCGGAATCGCCGTTACCCCCACTATCAGCTGCGGCCTCCGCCATCGACGCCCCTCAAGCCCGCTCTGGAGTATTGGCAAGAAGGCCTTTCGGGTCGCCTGCAGCCACCAGAGCAGTACCTGAGGGAGTGCACGTGCTCAGATAGCTCCAATAACGCTAAGGTGCGCGGGTGGACGTCGTGGGGCGGGACCTCAAGGGGTGGGACCTTGCAGGAACCGGAAATAGTCAAGGGTCCTTGGGGGCTCGCAAATTGGTCACCTGTGGGTCACAATGGCCTTGTAGAAAAGTTCCGTTATTCTGGTGGGCTTTAAAGAGCGTAAACTCCGTGGAAAGCAGGGATGGAAGGTGGCAATCACCGATTTTTTTGTATTTTTCCCTCTTTTTTTTTTTTTTTTTTTTGGTCTTTTTGAGACAGGGTCTCCCTGTAGCCCCAGCTGTCCTGGAACTCACTATGTAGACCAGGCTGGCCTTGAACTCAGAGAGATCCGCCTGCCTCTGCCTCCCGATTGCTGGGATTAAAGGCGTGCGCCACTACGCTCGGCTGCTCTCTCTTTTTTTTTTTTTTTTTTTTTTTTTTTAAATCTTTTTGAGACATGGTTTCCCTGTCGTCCCAGCTGGCCTGGAACTCATAGACATCCACCTGTGTCTGCCTACCGAGTGCCGCAACTAAAGGCGTTCCCCACCACACCCGGCCCTTTTTTCTTTTTTATTACATTTACTCATTTATTTGGGGAGGGGGAACTTAAGTGTGTCATGGTGTGTATGTGGGAGTCAGAAGACAACTTTTGGGGTTCTTTCGCCATGGGGATTGAACTTGAGTGGTTGGGCTTGGCGGCAAGCGCCTTTACCTGCTGAGCCATTTTCGCTGGTCCACAATTATTATTCTAATTTTAAAAAATTAAAATATTGCCGGGCGTGGTGATGCACGCCTTTAATCCCAGCACTCGGGAGGCAGAGGCAAGCGGATCTCTGTGAGTTTAAGGCCAGCCTGGTCTACATAGTGAGTTCAGGACAGCTGGGGCTTCAGGGAGACCCTGTATCAAAAGGACAAAAATAAATAAATAAATAAAATATTTAAGGATGGCTAGGGATATAGCTCAGTGGGCTGGGCACTCTTCCTGACAAGCAGGAGGCCCTGGATTCACCCCCAGCACCACAGAAACCAGGCATGGTAGTCCACACCTTTTCCTGCCAGCACTCCGGAAGTGGGAACATGGAGGATCAGGAGTTCAGAGTCATCCTAGGCTACATAGTTTGAGACCAGCCTGGGCTACATGGAGAAAAATCAAAATCAGAATCTGGCTCAGCAGTGCAACCATGTGCATGCAATGTCCTGAAGGCCAGAAGAGGGCGTTGGATCCCCTGTAGCTAGAATTACAGAAGATTGTTAGCTGCCATATGGGTGCTGGGCATCAAACCCTGGCCCTCTGCAAGAGCAGTCAAGGCTGTTAACTGCTGAGCCATGTCTCCAGCACCTTTTTTAAAGTCCTACATCACCTTTTTCCTTGGTGAGTTTGCACCACAGCCCTCCATCAACCCTACAGAATGAGATGGGAATCGCAATGGTGAAATATGAAAACCAATTCTGGGAAGTCTGGAGGCTGGAGGGCCTTGCTCTACCTTTAGAGTGTGCCTACCATCTCTTTGAGGAGGAATTCAGTGGAGGGACACTGAGGCCCACAGAATTTGACCTCAAGAACAAGATTTCCCTCAAAGTTCTTTTAGCTGGTACCATCTAAGGCAATTTCAGCTGGCTTCCTGGAAGAGGAAGTGGCAAACCAGCAATTGATAACCATGATATTCACATTCACAACACAGTGTAGACTATTTACCATGATCTATAGTATTTATGATAATATGCACATAATGGCACTGACTGCTTACCCGGAGCTAAGCAGTTATTGAGCACTTATGTAAGTGCTCCATTCCAACCCTTGTCCTACCACTCTCAATCCTTCCACGGCTCCTTAAAGCCCAGCCCTGTATGACATCCCCCAAACACTGTTCCCTGCACCCAACCACCTTGCACTTGGGGTGACATGACTCTAGTGTCTTCTTTGGGGAGGAGTCTGTGACTCACTGGACATATATTTATTGTTCGCACTGGACCTTGGCACCCACAGAAGATGACTTCATCCACGGTGTTTAGCCTCGGGTCTCCCTGTAGCCCAGGCTGGTCTGGAACTCACTATCTAGCTCAGGCTGGCCTCCATCTCACAGAGATCCTCCTGCTTCTACCTCCTGAATGCTGGGACTAACTAAAGGTGTGGGTCACCACACCCAGCTGGCTTCTTTTTGTTTTTTTTTTTTTTTAATTTTATTTATTATTTTTATTTTATGTGTATGCATGTATTTCCTGCATGTAGGTAAGTGCATCCGTGTTGTGCAATGCCCTCAGAGGATAGAAGAGGCTGTCAGATCCTCTGGAACTGGAGTTATGGACAGTTGTTAGCTGCTATGGGGGTGCTGGGATTCGAATCCAGGTCTGCAAGAACAGCCAGTGTTCTTAACCACTGAGCCATTTCTCTAACCCCCTTTTGTTTGTTTTTTGAAACAAAGTTTCATGTCTCAGGCTGGTCTCAAATATGGTAAGTAGAACAGAATCACTTTCAACTCTTTATTTTTAAATATGTGTGTGAGTATGTACATGTGAGTGTGAGTACACAGGGAGGCCAGAAGAGGATGTAAGATCCCTGTGAGCTTTTTTTTTTTAATGTACTATAAAACCCCAAGACTGTCACATCCCTAGACTAATGTAATTTCTTACTATATGCAAAATATGTATAACTTGTATTTACAGATACCCCAGTCACCACTCATCAAAGATGCATCTTTTCCACCAGATGGAGAGTATTCCAGAGTACCACTGGTCACATCAGACATTGTGAACTGGCCAGGCCTAAGTGGCACATCTACAATGCAACCTCTACACCTAATGCTCATGGAACATAGAACAAGGGGTACAGACACTAAGGTATCTCTCAATTCTCATCAGTGAAGCTCTTTCAGGCAACAGAGGGCCAGGAACACAAATGGCCAAAAAATAGAGATTAAATCTGCAGAGTGTGAGTCCTTGGAGAGGACTTCTGTATTAAACGCCACCCACCCAGGACTCAGGGACCATCACAGAAGAGCAGGACAGAATGATTGTAAGAGCCAGGGAGGAGGTGCAGGACCATATGGAAATAGAGTCCTACAAGCTCCTGGGACTCTGCTCATATGAACCTGCAGCAATGGTGTCAGCATGCACAGGACCCATATGCAAACTCAAGCAGACAAAAACCGAGCACAGAACTGGGGAAATGGACAGCTGACCCCAATCTTAGCTGAAGAACTATTGGCAACTGATTACTGTTGGGTGAGGAAGAGCTGATCTTCCTAAAGTGAGGGATTCTAGAAGGCTGACTAGACCTCAGCAGATGAGCTTGCACTGGGCATCGTCTGGGGACACTGACTTGACACTATAGGCCTTAACACAAACGACAGAATGTATGAACTCCAGTGGGGGTTATTGAGCACTTATGTAGGAGTGTGGAGAGTGCCAATGGGTATAAAGATGATTAAGACTGATCGAGATGAGCTGGGCATCATGGCGCAAAAAGACTAAAAAAAAATTTTAATTGAATTTTTGTGTATTTCATACAGAAGTTTTTTGTTTTTTTTTTTTTAGACAGGGTCTCCTGTAGCCCCAGCTGGCCTGGAATGTACTATGTAGAAGACCAGGCTGGCCTTGAATTTACAGAGATCCGCCTGCCTCTGCCTCTCCGAGTGCTGGAATTAAAGTGTCCACCACCACACCCAGCATCAATAAAAATTTCTTTAAATATCATTTTCATTTTATGTGTATTACCTGCACGTATGTAAGTGCACCTGTGTCATGCAATGCCCAGAGAGGTCAGAAGAAGGCGACAGTCGGACGCCCTGGAACTGGGGATGATTGTTAGCGGCAGTGTGAGTGCTGGGATTCGAACCCGGGTCTTCTGCAAGCGCCAGTGCTTTTAACCTCAGAGCCTGTTCTCCAGCCTCCTCCTCTATGTCTTTTTGACACAGGGTCTCCTCTGTACCCCGGGTCAGCCCAAAACGCGTCCCGTCAACCCCGCCTCAGCTCTTCCCATGCGTCAGGCTGATGGGCTGGGCTGTCTGTCTCCTGGGCTTTCCCTCCAGTCCGCGTCCCTCCGGCCCCTCTCGGGATGGGGTTGTGGGTGGCAGCCGTCTGGCAGGTGCGGCCCCGGCTGGGTGCCAACCGCTGGCCTCCCCGGATTTGTGTGTCTGCCATCCCTTTATCTGCGTCTGCAGCTGGCTCCTTATCACCACACAAGCTAGGAGCCGGGATTAGAGCAGCCTGGGCCAAGGACGCGGGATGACAGGAGCCAGGGCGGCGGCGGCCGGAGAGCCAGAGCCCCAGGCACCTTGCTGCTCGGCTGGAGGCGTGCAGGACAGCCCGCCAGCCAGGCCCGAGGGCAAGCCGCGGCCCCGCCCCGGCCCGGCCAGCCCCGCCCCCTGCGCTGCGCCGCCCCGTCCCCAGCTCGGCCTGTGGCATTTTCCATCTGTGCAGGTGGCTGGCTTGATGGGTTCCCCACCTTGCTGGCCCCAGACCCCCGGGGACCCGGCCCTGACCTGTGACCCTGGGCTGTCAGTGGCCCCCCAGGGAGCAGCCTGGCCCTGTTTTTACCATCCAGACCTGGATCTGCCGTCCTCAGGCCTCCAGGGCCCCATCCTGGCCTCCTCTGGCCAATGTGACCCCTTCCCTGAGGCCAGAAGGGGTGTCAGTTTCAGGGTCCTATCTGAACAGAGGCCTCACTATGTCCCTCCCTCAACTCAGGGCACAGTCATTCTGGCAACCCCAAAGTTCCAGAACCCAAAGCTGAAAACTAGGCAAGATCACCCATGCAGGTCATCCTACCACTGGGGAGGTGGAGGGGAAGGAGAGTTCCAGAGCAATGCCTTGTCAGAAACACACACAGTAGGTCAACCTGGGACTGGGGCTGAGTTTACCAGCTCAGTGCTTGTAGCTCAGTGGGCAGAGTACTTGTAGCTCTGTTGGTAGAGTGCTTGTGGCTCAGTGGGTAGAGTGCTTGTGGCTCAGTTGGTAGATTGCCTACTCTGCATGAAGCCCTGACTTCCATCCTCAGTAATGATTAATGGGGTATGGTGGCCCAGGTCTGTCATCCCGGCACTGGGGAGGTAGAGGCAGGAGGATCAGGAGTTCAAGGTCATCCCAAGCCACCCTAGGCTACAGTGCGAGACCCTTTCTTAACACAAGAACTCCACTCTAGAGGGAAGCCCCAAAGACACTCCCCCATCAGATAGAAGGTACCCAGGGCTAGACCCCAAATGCATCAAGGAGCCATTTCAACAGACTGGCCAGCTGTCTTACATACACACACACTCTGTGCGATGGTACATGTACAGTTAATAGTTTTGTGGAAGTAGCCAAGAGGGACAGAAGACGGCCCTGCCAGGCCAGTCCCTGGGGTCCTCCTGGGGTGCAGCCCCAGGTTCACTGGGCCTGGACCAGCTCCTAACACTGAGATGGAAACTTCTCCCCCAGCCAAGCTGATGTCTTCGCTGGTAGCCACTGGCTTACCCACACCTCGGCCTGGGTCCCCACCTAAGAACAAAACAGGTCCCCTTGGAGACAATAGCCTCCAGGAAGGGTCCGGCCAGCTGAGGAGCAGGTGGGGCCAGGTGGGTGGACAGGTGGAATACTCTGTGACTTACTTGGGAGCCCCTTTGCTGTGTGACCTGGGGGTGCATGACCTCACTGATCCTCAGGTTTCACAAGCACATCTGTTGGTCACAGAGTAGGCTGGGTGGCAGGTTTGGGACTATGGGAACAGATAGATACTGTGAAAGAATTCATTTCCAGGCAAACACACCCAGGGAGGCCAGGCTGGCTTGGGGACTCAGGTTTCAGTCACCTGGGATCCTTGAAAGAGATTAAGGGGGTTGCACACCTTTGTGCCTCTTTGAGCCTCAGTTTCCCCCACAGTCCTACCCCTGGCATGAAAGGTTTGAATATTGATGCAGTCCATAATATAAAATACTGTAAACCATACTGCAGACTTCGAGAGCCAGGAACCCTGGACCTCCTGGACAACTGAAGGAAGTGACACCCCCAGGCCTGGTCTCCAGAGAGCTGGTGTCCCCTACCCCCACCCCAGGTCCCAGCAGGGGTAGGGTGGGGACTGGCTCATCTCCGCTGGGGGTGGAGAATTCTAGAGAGGTGTGTCCATGTGTCTATGTGCCCCAGTTCCCAGCTGGGCGTCTGTCCGTCATAGCCTGTCTGGGGGTGAGGAGGGGTGACAGTGTGGGGGTGACTCAGGATTGTTAGGACTGGTGTTTCTGGTGTGACAACGTCCGGCCCTGAGCCAGGCAACCACTTTGTGCCTCTGAGGTTGACGAGATCTTCTCTGTGGGTGTCTGTGAATTGGGGTCACAGGGTGGGTGCCGCTTCTGCATCTGTCTGCCTGCCTGGTGTCAGCTCCACCCCCTGCCCCCACCGTGGCCCCCCCATCCCAGAGGGGAAAAAGCTGGTCTTTCAAGTTGTTGTTACCAGGACAACCGGTTTACGAGCGTCCACATGGTGGGCACATGTGTCCTGCTCCCCGTGTCGGCTGCCCCACCCCCATGGACCCCAGTCACAGTGCGGCCGGGTGAGCTGAGGTGGCCACAGGGCGGCTGGTGACAGCTTCACAGAGAACTTGCTCTGGCCAGCTGTGCATGTGTGCAAATGGGGACCCAGCCCCCCACACCCACCCTGAGTGTGAGTGTGTGTATGTGAGCAAGAGCTACAGATTTTTATGCACTCGTTCTGAATTGTGTCTGTGTGGGTCTTTGCACCAGCAACGAGTGTAACACACACGGGTGTGTGTGTTCACCAGCTCATGCCACAGTAGAGCCCAAGCCTCAGGAAGTGCCTCAGCCCGACGGTGGGTAAAGCCAGCTCAGGACTGTGTGTGCCTGGAGGGTTGCAAAGGGACAGCTGTGTGTGTCTCTGTGTCTGTGTGTGAGTGTGTGCATGTGTACAAGGAAAGGCAGTGTGCCTCATGTGTGCACAGGGCCTGTGGTCTGAATGGTACTGACTTTGTGTGTGTGGCAGGCACCTGCTCACCAGGGGGGCCAGCTTTGTGTGACAGTGGGGACTGGGTGCATGAGTACTTGACTGGAACAGAGTTTATTTATTTATCTATTTATTTATAGTTTATTTTTGAGACAGGGTCTCCCCGTAGCCCCAGCTGTCCTGAAACTCACTATGTAGACCAGGCTGGCCTCAATCTTAGCAAGATCCACCTGCCTCTGCCTCCTGGTTAGGATTAAAGGTGTGCGCCACCAGGCACAGCAAGTATTTATTTTTATTCTATGTGTGTGAGTGTTTTGCCTGCATGCATGTAAGTGCACCATGTGCATGCAATGCCCAAGGCGGTCAGAAGAGGGTGTGAGATCCCCTGGAACTGGAGTTATGAATGGTTGTTAGCTGCCAGGTGGGTGCTGGGAACTGAACCCAGGTCCTGTGCAAGATCAGCCAGTGCTCTTAACCACTGGGCTGACTCTCCAGCCCTGGAATAAAGGTTCTTTTGTTTTTTGGTTTCTTGAGACAGGGTCTCCCTGTAGACCCAGCAGGCCTGTAGACCTTCGCTATGTAGACCAAGGTGGCTTTCATCTCACAGAGATCCTCCCACCTCTGCTTTCTGAGTGCTGGAATGACAGGTGTGTGATACCACACCTGTCTGGAATGGAGTTTTAAAGGATTCCTACCCTAATGCCATCTTCCCATCTCCCTGTGCCACACCCTTGTCCCCATCAGGATATTGAGACTGCCAGACTCACTGCACACGGTCCTCCACACTCCAGGCACAGTGACAGACTCACTCAGGCCCCCACAACCTCTGACGAGCTACTGAGCAGATTGCATGGGGAAACTGAGGCACAGGGCAGGAAGATGAGCTGTCCAAGGTCACTCGGAGCACAGGAAATAGGAAACTTCCAGATCTCTACTGCTGTCCTGTTCCAAGTCCCCCAAATCCACACTGTGGCCTCACCCTGCCCACATGCGTACAACGTCCACGTGGGGTGTCCCCAGCACCTGGAACGGGCACTAGAACCCAGATGGAGGCCAGGCTGATGGGAGCTGTGCACCTGCGCACTGGGAGACTGGGAGGCCGAGGGCGGACCCCAGGGCGAGGTTTCTCGGCAGAGGGGCGTGGCCGGGGCGTGGCCACACCTGTCATAGCCCCGCCTCCCCCAGTCAGCCGGGCTCCGCTAGGGGGCGGTTCGAGATTGCAGGTGGGGAGCGGTGGGGCTTGTTGATGCTCCTGATGGGACGTTTGAGCGGGAAGTCAGCAGTGAGAAGTGCCTCTTGCAGAACTCTGAAGCCAGAATGAGTGGGCAGGGTTGATGGACGGGGTCCACTGTGGACCATGGGATCCTCTTTAGTCCTGGGCTATCCTGGGGTGTCTTTAGAAAATCTCTGGGTCTCAGTTTTCCTGAAAGGGCTTCTCAGGGATGGGCGGCTTCTTTAGCTTTTCGGGGTGGACGTAGGAATGGGGAGCACTTGTGGGGGCCTTTGGTTCTCCATGGAGGGTCGTGAAGACGTGCTTGGACTCTAGACTTCAACACAGATGCCAACAGAGGATGGAGAACAGCTAGCTTTGGGGGGGGTGCGGTGCTCTAGGCGTTCCCTCTGATGGGGAGTTTTAGGGGGTGTAGGTGAGGAATTGGGGGCCTGACTTCTAGATCTGGGGAGCAAAGTTTCGGATAAAGGAGTGTCCTGGGAGTCCGGATTGCGTTCCTGCCACCTGTGCTCGTGGCACACCCCTCTGGCTGTGGGAGGGACGAGGGCGGCTCCTGAGCCCGGGAAACGCTAAACCACGCCCGGACCACGCCCCCAGGAGAAGACCACGCCCCTCAGCCCCGCCGGCAGCAGCGGCGGGAGAGCGCGCGGTGCTCGGTCCGTGCGCCCCGCGCCCTGCGATCTCCGCCTGGCTTTGCACCCAGGGCGCACCCGAACTTCTCTTCTGCACGGTCCCGGGGTGCATTTAGCCCCGGGAAGGAAGAGAGAGAGAGCAAAGGGGGGACCCCATGGCCCGGCCCGCGACCTGCACCCTTCGCAGTGGCCTCCTCCGGCACGGGGTCCCAGGGTCCCCTCGGGTCCCCGCGATCCGGATGGCGCACGCGGTGGCTGGAGCCGGGCCGGGCTCGGGGGGCAGGAGTCACCACTGACCGGGTCATCTGGAGCCCCCCAACAGGTAAGCAATGTGATGGGAACCCCAAGCCAAGCCACCCTCCAGGGTTACAGTGGAGGCCACAGACCCATGCACACTGCAGGCCACTGCAGTGGGGGGCACCGTGCCCGGCCTCCTGCACCCCATCGGTGCCTCTCCAAGGGCAGCTGTCTACCAGGGACCCCCGGAGCCCCCTTTTCCAGGTCCAAGATTCCAGAATGGTACACACCCCACTTATACACTCTGAGGGTGCTTTATCCACAGGAGGTGTTGGGGGGACACGGAGATGGTAGCAAAACTGGGGTGGTGAGCTTGCCTTTTGAGGCCCAGCTGCGCCCAGAAATAAACATCTGTCCGTTGCCTTTCAGCGGCCGGGGACACGGTGTCCTCCTGGTGAGGCCCGGCCTCTGAGCGCCTGGAGTTGTGTGTTCAGCCACAAGAGGGCGTGGAACACTTTGAGGGGGGGGTGTCCCTTAAGGGCAAAGCTCAGATTTGAAGTGGAGGGTGTCTAACCCTACTTTTTCCACTCTTGCTCCAAGCCAACCCCAGAGTTGGTTTGTGGGTGAGAAGTCAGGAAGCCCCGATTGCTGCAGAGAGTAGGTAGACACCAGGTAGGTCATAGATTGGGGGTGCGGGCTGTTTGGCCCATTTGGGCTCAGCAGTCTGAGCTGGGAGCCTGGGGGTCTGTGCTGGAAACTGAACCCCTGACATTCCTTCCTTCATGCCTGCTCCTGACCTCACATCCGCTGGTATTGACAATCTTTGACGCTCTTTGTATCTCTAAGTGCCCGGGGCTGAGGAAGCCCCGTTGGGGCGTGACCAGCCCTGGAGGATGTCAATGGCAGGCAGATTCCAGCCCTACCAGCTTCTCTGCACCCCAGCCCCTTGCCCGGGGGGCTCAGGGGACAACTTTCCTTTTCATCCTGGGACTTCTGAGGGTCCTGGTTCCCAAGCCGGTGCCAAAACCCTAGGCAAATCACCAGCAGCCAGCTGTCAGAAAACAAACAGAGTCAGAAAACAAACATCCCCTCTTCTGCAGAGGAGGGGGCACAGGGTTCCCAAATGCTACCTGTAGGATTTGTCCCTCTCCTGGTAAGAGAGTCTTTCTGAGAGGTTGGCAGAGGGAAAATGAAGAAAAGGATGTATCATTAGAGGTAGAGGCTGTGCTGAAGAGGAGGAAGTTCCTAAAGTGGAATTGGACTGTCTTTGCTGATGGAGTCCCTGATCCCCGCCCCCAAGGTCAAGGGTCGCGGCCTCAAAGGACACTCTAGGGGGCAAATACAATCCCCCCCCCATCTACTTGTGAGCAACTATTGAGTGCCAGGCAGAACTAGCCAGCGGTAACAGGCCAGGCAAGTGGGAAAAGACGGTCCCTACTGGTGCAGTGGGTGCCCTGGCTAGGAGGGAAGACAGAGTAAGGGGAGTGCACATGAACAGAAGAGCCACCTGGCAGTAAATGTTCTAGAAGGTTCTATGAGGAGACCAAAAGGGACCAGAGTGCCCCCTTGTCTAAGCTAAATGGACTGGGAACAGGGAGTGGTGACATAACCTGTCATCTGGGCTACTCAGAGGCTGAGGTGGGAGGATCCTGGGTCCCAGGCCAGCCTGGGCTACATAGTGAGACCCTATCTCAAAAACGAAAAAAGAGATAAATAAGCAGGAAAACAAAGCAGGCTTGAGTGTGTCCTCAGAGAAATCAGGCAGACCCCCCCCCAGCTCCTAGCAGGACTTCTCTTTCCTATCTGGGGAAACTGAGGCTCAGAGAGTGAGCAGCTTTCAGGGCTTAGCAATATCATCCATCCGGGATGGGAGACCAAATTTCAATGTAGGGTGGGGGTGAGGAAACGGTAGGCAGGGTCCCCCCAGTTCCAGCCCCATTGGGGGGGGGCTGCGCCTGCCTCAGTTTCCCTTCATGCCAGATGGTCAGTGTCTCCGGACAGCCGATGCTGGGTGCTTCCCCCCTTGCTGGCTGCCCAGCGTCCTCTGGGCCCCTGGCCAGCAGCTCAGTACCAGCTCTCATTAAGCTTCAAGCCATTATCCAGGGGGCCCCTCCGGCCTGCCACACACATCGTGCACAAGGTGGGAATTTTACGAGCTGGCAGGTGGGGCCGGGTGGGGAGCTTCAAGAAAGGCTGGCTCCAGGTGCCCCAGCTGAGGGGTCCCTCAGGGCTCTGGGGTCATGTCACCACTTCCCTCTTTTATTTCTTAGTTTTGCTTTTTTGAGGCAGGGTCTCCCTGTAGCCTCAGCTGGCGTGGAACTCGCTATGTAGACCAGGCTGGCCTCGGACTCACAGAGATGCTGCCTAAGTGCTGGGATTAAAGGTGTGCACCACCAACCATATCCTGCTAAATTGAGTCTTTTTTTTTTTTTTTTTGGTCTTTTTGAGACAGGGTCTCCCTGTAGTCCCAGCTGACCTGAACTTACTATGTAGACCAGGCTGGCCTTGAACTCACAACGATCCACCTGCCTCTGCTTCCCGAGTGCTGGGATTAAAGGCGTGCGCCACCACACCTGGCGTAAATTGAGTCTTTTTAATAACACTAAATCTCTTGCCTCCAGCCCAAGACATGTTCCATGTTATACCAAGGTGCTCATTAAGTGTTTGTGGACTGAATATGCTGGAAGCCTGATCCAGGCTGGACGCTGCTTCCAATTTGCTGTATGTCTTAGGGAGAAACACTGCACCTCTCTGGGCCTGCCTTGCCGCTCATATTTTTTCCAGACCTGTTGCAGGGGTCCCCAGCTGAGGTTGCAGAGTCACTGAAAGTTCTCACCTGAGTTTAAATCCATCCCATTGCTGTGTGACATTGAGCAATCACTTAACCTCTCTGTGCCTGTTTCTCTGGGTTCAGTTCCTAGTATTCACATGGCAGCTAACAACCATTCCTAACTCCAGTTATAGGGCATCCTATGCCCTCTTCTGGCCTCCGCAGGCATTGCATGACATGGGCGCATTTACATACATGCAGGGGATACACTCACACATAAAGTGAAAATAAATAAGAATAGCACTCACACACCAGTCTAGTGAGTTAATTCCCTCCTCTGGTTCACCATTTACTCCACCTATCAGGTGCAGACAAAATGGCCCATCTTAGTGAAGAGAACCAAGGTTGCTGGTGACAAACTGGGGTGCCAGACCTTCTGAGTCTCGGGGCACCCCCTGCTGACCAGCCTGTGTCTGCCTGTGCCTCCCCTGTCTACCCCCGAGCCGCCCCTTAGCCACCCAGCCCTGCAGACACTGTGTGGGAGCCAGCTGTGCTCTGCAGATGTGGGTTTGCCCCCAGATGTGCGTCGCTGGCTGCCCCAGACTCGTGTCCCATCAATGGTTGGGGCTGGGCCCAGGGGCCCTCAGAGGGAGGTGAGGAAATGTGTTCTTCCTCAGAACCACACAGGAGAGAGAGAGAGAGAGAGAGAGAGAGAGAGAGAGAGAGAGAGGAGAGAGAGAGAGAGAGAGAGAGAGAGAGAGAGAGAGAGAGAGAGAGAGACAGACCCAGGCCAATCCCACCCTCCAGGAGGCCTCTGAACCACAAAGAACCCCATGCACCAGTGGGGAAATTAGACCAGTGTACGGGAGCTTTTCTAGTCAGGGATTGTCAGTGCTAGTGGAGAAACTGAGTCACTGAGGGAACATGACTGAGGCAGAGGATGCACCCCGAGGGCAGGAGCTTGGGGTCTAGCCTTCCCTGAAGGAACAGGAGGACTCAGCCCATGTGGTCCCTCCAGAGAAGATAGAGATGGATGCAGTTACCATGGCAACAGGACTGAGCACCTGTGAAGAACTCAACTGTAGAAGCTAGGGCTTTGAAGGATGAAGAGGAGTTTGCTTGCTGGAGTGGGCCCTAATTCCAAACAGGGTACCAGTGAGGTTCTGTCTGCAGTGAGCAGGCTCCATTCTGCCTCAGGGCATTTGCGCAGCTGTGTCCTCTGCCCTGGGGCCTTTGCACAGCTGTGTCCTCTGCCCTGGGGCCTTTGCATAGCTGTGTCCTCTGCACTGGAGCCTTCCCACCACCTGAGGCCTCATCCTGTGGTTGTCCCCTCCCCTGGGCCTGCAGGATCTTATATTGGGTCATCCTCTTCATATTCAAGGGGTATTGTTGAAACCCCTTGCAGATGGGCAGACTGAGGCTTGGAGGAGGAGCTAGTCCCCACTTTACCCAGCTGCAGGTACAGCTCAGAGCCAGGTTCTCATGGTGTTGAGGGTGTGTGGTGTGCAATTGGATGTGAGCCCCTGAACGTACCCAGCCTGCAGGACCCAGGCACACATGTGGTGCACATATGGCCCCTCTCCAGGGCCCTCTGCCACACCTGCGCCACCCCATCCAGGTCCCTTCTGTGCCAAGGACAAACCAGTCGGGTGACCCCAGACAGAAAGGCCATTGTTAACCTGTTTATCAGCCACCTGCTGCCCCCCGAGCTCAGCTTGGGGGGTCTGAGGCCCAAGGACACCAGGCACAGCTGGGGCCCCTGCTCAGCCCTACCTCTTGCTCAGAGCCTGAGGCTTCTTGTAGCCCAGTGAAGGGTACTGAGGCATGTGACTTAGGGGTGAGGACCAGGACACCGCTACTCAAATGCAAACTCTTAGGCAAGTCACCTAATGGCTGTGGGGTGCAGATTCCCAAGCATAAATGGAAAAATGGCCAGATATGAGCCACCACCCCAGTTCACGTGCCAGGCAAGTGCTTGGCCCACTGAACCCCAGCCTGATTCTTACGAGTGAGAAATGGCTTGATATATGTTAACTTTTTAAAAAATGTATATGAGTGTATTGCCTGTGTGTATGTAAGTGCACCACATCATGCAATGCTCACAGGGGCCAGAAGAGGATGCTGGATCCCCTGGAACTGGAGTTACAGACAGTTGTTAGTTGTGCCATTTGGGTTTTAGGATTCAAACCTGGGTCCTCTGCAAGAGCAGACAGTGCTCTTAACCACTGAGCCACCTCGATGCTTCTCCAACAGGCCAGGCTCAGTCTTTCCTGGGCCTTTGCACAGCCCTGTCCTCTACCCCAGGGCCTTTGCACAGCTGTGTCCTCTCTGCCCCAGGACCTTCGCACATCTGAACAATATGCAGCACATGCCCATTCAAATGGAGACCAGAGGACAAGACTGGTGTCAGCCCTCCTTGGAAGGACTGACTGAGCCATCTCTTTTGCCCCGTTTATTCTTTTTTACGCTTCTCTGCAAATTGTCTTGGTCCCCACTGTGCCTTCAGGGCCTGGCGCCTCACAAAAGCTCAGTATATGTCAGATGAGTGAACAGATGTACGCATGGATTTATTGGGAGAATGGAAAAGAGGAGACACTTGAAACCTTCGTATACATTTGGTGCTCAGCAAACAGGGTGGGCTTCTCATGTGGGGCTGGTGGTCTCTTAAAGCCACAGATGGAAATTCTTGGTCTTTGGGTTTGGGGTCTAAGTTGCCCAATGTCCAGCATCCTCTTGTACATTTTTTTCTTCATGCTTCAAACATCTGTTGTATACACCAGGTACAGTGGCACACACCTGTCATCCCAGCACTCGGGAGGTGGAGTCAGGAGGATCAGGAGTTCAGGGCCAGCCTGACCTACATGAGGCCCTGTCTTCAAAAACACGGTAGCCATACCAAATACTGTTGACTGTGCTGAGCCAATTTTGTACCTGTTTCCCCAGCTGTAAACCATACACTGATGGGCCTTGTATTCAGCTGCTGCTTAAACAATGTTGCCTGCTCCATGTGGATCTAGGCCTGTGCCTCCAGTGGGGGGCAGCTTGCCATGTGACTAGAGGAGTGGAGCTGTGCAACTGATGCAAATGAGCTGCAAAAACAGGCAGGTGGGGGAAGGCTGGGGGGGTTCACACTAGGGTGCTGGGCTGGTGACACTGGGCAACTGGGCTGGAGGACCTCAGGGAACATTCTAGGGCAGTATGAGGTATCGGGGTGTGCACGTGGGTTATTAGGCACCTACTGTATGCAGTGAGAACAGAGTCATGGTGTCTGATGGAGGGGTAGGCACTGCAGGACTGGAGTGGGGAACCCAGGACAGGCAATCTGGGAGGGCTCCCTAGAGGGGCTCCCAGGGGATTTCACGTTGGAGCCTGCTTAAGGGCATTGCCCACGCCTCTGTGGGGGAAACTGAGGCTCAGAAGTTAACAGGAAGTTATCAAAGACAGCGACACCAGGTACCCCGAAGCCCAAGGGTCTGACCCACCCTGGTTCCACAGCACCACCTGCTGGCAGTTGCCTCCTTCAGTCACTCCAGCTCATCCCAGCCCAGTCCTGCATCTGTTGCTAGATACCGGCTCCATCCAGCCTCAGGCCCTTTACACTGGCTGTGGCCCCAGTTAAAATACCTTTTCCCCAAGCCTGGCCTACTCCTACCACCGATCAAGTCTGGACTCCACTGTCACTTCCTTAGAAAAACCCTCTGGGACCCCGGAAGCGGGGTGCGGCTCCCCAGTCGCTCCCCAGCCTGGCACAGCGCCTTCCCCCCACCCCGCCTCTTGGCAGCCTCTCCCACCACCATGTTCCGTTCCTTAATGAATATGTGTGTGCCAGCCATCACTAACGATGTGGTGTTCAAAGGTAGAGGCTCCCCATGCCACGTGCAGCACCCAGCCAGGCGCAACCCTCCATCACCCGGTCTTGTCCCTGCAGGCTGAACACCCAGTGCCTGTAGGCCCAGGATGCAGCGCTGGAAGGCGGCGGCCGTCATCTCTTTGCTCTGCAGCTCGGTACTGTCCTTCTGGATGTGTCGGGAGGGTCTGCTGCTCCGCCACCGCCTGGGACCTGCGCTCACACCGCTGCGCCGCCCTCCGCGCACCCTGGACGCCCGCATCGCCCGCCTGGCCCAGTGTGAGCGACTGGGGGAGGCACAATCCAGAAGGGCGCCCGGGGGGAGGTGACTGCAGGGCTCCGTACTGGGGGCGGCTAGGGCATCGGTTCACCCCTCTGTGGGGGAAAACTGAGGTTCAGAGGTGGCTGGGGAGTTATCTAGGATCTGAGTGAGAGGGGAGAGAGAGAGAGACAGACAGAGAGAGAGAGAGAGAGAGAGAGAGAGAGAAATGAGAGAGAGGGGAGAGAGAGAGAGAGAGAGAGAGAGAGAGAGAGAGAGAGAGAGAGAGAGAGAGAGAGAGAGAGAGAGAGAGGTGGCGGCTTAATCCCAGCACTCGGGTGGCAGAGGCAGGCAGATTTCTGGGAGATGGGGGCCAGCCTGGGCTCCATAGTGAGACTCCCATCTTTAAATAAATACTTAAATTAAAAAAATGAACCCAAGTGTGGTGGTGCACACAGAGGCAGGCAGATCTCTGTGAGATAGAGGCCAGCCTGAGCTACATAGCAAGTTCTAGGCCAGCTGGGGGCTACAGGGAGACCCCATCTCAAAAAGACCAAAAGGAAAATAATAATAATAAATTTAAAAACTTTTAAAGATGAAGGTCCAAAGAACTGGAGACAGGGCAGAGTCATGGGCGACATGTGGACCGTGCATGTGCCTGGCAGCTGGCTGTGGGCACGTCCTCCTCCTCCTTTCTCATGCATGCAATGGACAAGGGTAGCCTCAGGGTGCTCCGCTCAGCTCCCCTGTGCTGGGCTCTGAGCTCTGAATGGAGCCCTGGTCTCCCCAAAGCCAGCCAGTGCCCCAGGGCCTGTGAGGGGGTGCAAAGCAGCCTTGTGGGATGTCGGGGTCCTGGACCAAGGCCAGGTGGCCACCCACGCCCTCATTTTCCCAGCTGTCCCTACTAAGGGGAGGACACCCAGTTTTCAGCCTGACCCAAGACAAAAGATTGGGAGGGAGGTCTGTGATCCGTCCAGGGGCTCAGATTGAGGCTTCTGGGAGTGGGGGTTGGGGGCAAAGAAACAGCCAGGATAACCCCAGCCCCAGCTGGCTTGTAACTCCCAGTGTAGCCTAGGTTGGCCTTAAACTCACAGAAACCCACCTGCCTCTGCCTTGGAAGTGCCAGGATTAAAGGCAAGTGCCATCATGCACAGCCAGTTTGTTTTTTCAGTTTTGGTTTGTTAAGACAAGGTCTCATGTAGCTCAGATTGACCTGAAACTTACTATGCAGCTGAGAATGACCCTGACCTCCTGATCCTCATGCCTCTGGCTCCCTAGTGCTGGGGTGACAAGCATCACCACCCCAACACCACACCCAGCTTGTCTGTAGTCTTTCTTTTTGTTGCATTTTGGCATAGGGTCTTGCTCTGTAGCCCAGGTTGGACCCAAGCTCGTGGGACTCCTGCCTTGGTATCTCAACTGGTGGCAAGATAGGTGTGCGCCATTCCACCTGACATTTTTGAGGTCTTTTTACAAGTTGCTATTTTTTTATTTATTTTATTTATGTGTATGAGTGTTTCCCGGCATATGTATGTGTGTGTGTGTGTGTGTGTGTGTGTGTGTGTGTGTGTGCGCACCTGTGTGCAATGCCCAAAGAGACCAGAAGAGGGCGGTGGAACCCCCTGGAACTGCAGTCAGAGACGGTTGTTAGTGCCACGTGGGTGCAGGGATTCGAACCTGGGTCCTCTGCGAGAGGCTGGTGCTTCGACCCACAGAGCATCTCTCCAGGCCCAGGGCATTTTCAGATGAACTCACACGTAGTACTCCAGGTTGCTCTTGCCCTTGTCTGGGCCACAACTGGACTCTGCCGAGGCGCATGCGCAGTATGGCTGCCTCAACTCCGCCTCCTTCTCTCCCGACAGACCGAGCGTTGCTGCAGGGCGCCCCGGACGCAGTGGACCTTCGAGAACTTTCTCCCTGGGCCGGCCGAGCCCCGGGGACCCGCCGTCGAGCTGGTGGTCCTCGCCGTCGCCGTGCGCGTGCGCGGTCTGGCGCGCATGCGTGCGGGCTGCGCGAGCTCGAGGTGCGCGTCAGCGAGCTGGGCCTGGGCTACACGTCGGACGAGACGGTGCTGTTCCGCTACTGCGCAGGCGCGTGCGAGGCGGCCGCGCGCGTCTACGACCTCGGCCTACGGGGCCTGCGCCAACGGCGGCGCGTGCGCAGAGAGCGGGTGCGCGCGCAGCCCTGCTGCCGCCCGACGGCCTATGAGGACGAGGTCTCTTTCCTGGACGTGCACAGCCGGTACCACACGGTACGCGAGCTATCGGCGCGCGAGTGCGCATGCGTGTGACCCTACCTCACCGCCCGCGACCCCACTGCGCCTGCACAAGACCATGGCCGTCGAGGCCGCGGGAACTCTCTGGAGAACTGTGTTCGTATAAAATGTGGGAACTCCAGCCCTCCTACTCATTGGAGCCCTGGGACGTCGAGTGGGTCATGAGGCGGATCTGCAGAGAAAGGGGGAGCTGCCTGGTGGCCTCGGGGAAAGGGAAAGTAGAGTGGGAAGAAGGAAAGAGCGGGCAGGGAAATGGCTGTCTGGGTAAAGGTGAGTTGATCTCCAAGCTGGGCGTCGCAATAGCTGCCTTTAATCCCAGCACTCAGGAGGCAGAGGCATCTCATCAGGACAGCCTGGGCTACATCGGGAGCTCCAGGCCAGCTGGGGCTACAGAGAGACCCTGTCTCCATACACAAAACTAAAACAAGCTGGAGAGCTGACTGGGGCATAAGAGCACTGGCAGCTCATGTAGGGGACCCAGTTTGGGTTCCCAGCACCCACAGGGTAGGTGACAACCAGCTGTAACGCCAGTTCCAGGGAATCGGCTGCCCTCGTCTGGTCTCCATGGGCACTGCACATGTGTGGTACACTTACATACATGCAGGCAAACATACACATTGGGCACGGTGGTGCAGGCTTGCAACCTGAGAGAGGCATCTTTTGACGGCTGGTCCAGCCAAATCAGAGCCTCCAGGTGCAGTGAGAGACTCCAGGAAAAGAGGTGGCGAGGGACTGAGGAAGGCACCGTCCACCAGCTGGCCTCGAGGCGCTCAGCTGCGTGGCAGGGACACCCCAACACTTCATAAGCCACTTAAACGAAGCAGGGGGAGAAAAGAGAAGCTGATCGTGGTGAGCACACTTGTCAACCCAGCACTTGGGAGGTGGAGGCAGAAGAATCGGGTTCAAGGCAAGCCTGTGCTACATAGCAAGCCCTAGGATAGCCTGGACTACAGGAGACCCTGTCAGAAAACAAAAGATGAAAACATGGTGCTTTGGGGGCATGAAAGTGGGGTTAATGACATCAGCGCCTGACCTTGTGAACTCCCTGCCCAGGCTGTCCCCATCCTCATCAGCCTAAACATGTCCTTTGTTGGGGGACAGAGGGAACGCAGGGTTGGTGCAATCAGGTAGGACCAGTAAGCCAATGAAGAGACTGCAGTTTGGGTGGACCCCAGCCTCCCACTTTGGTCTGTCCCCTTGAGGGTGAACTCACAGCCACTATCTCGTTCTACCAGCTAAAAATACTTTGTCACTATCCACCTCCCTGATGGGACAGGTCTGGGGCAGGTGCCAGCCCTGTGTAACCTCAAGCTGGCGCCTGCTGGGGCAGAGCTGGGTCCCCAAGGACCTGGGTCTCAGCTCCATTAAAAACCTTAGCTGCAGCTGGAAGGGGAGTCTGCGGGGCTGTGAACACTTGGCCTCACTTCAGTGTCACCTTGGGGGGTGGCAGAGTCCCAGGGTCTGGAGAAGGGTTCACGGGTGCCAGACCCTGAGGATGGGTGGGGAAGGGTGCTTGGTGTCACCTTGGTGTGACCGTGACCCTTTCGTATTGAGATCATCAAGTTGGGGGTTGGGGGTGCGACTGTCATTTGTCCAACTTTCTCAAAGGTGAGAATTCCCTTCCCCAGCCAGAGAGGAGCACATGCCTTCCCTGCACCCCAGGGTGGCGTCTCCCCGGGGCACCGTCGTCTCTGACCTCCAGGTAGTCCTGGGGTTGGCTTGATGAGGGCAACAGGACCCCAGCCCCTGGGTGAACTTCCTGGAATGAGGTTTCAGGGCCACTCCCCTTCTTGTAGGCAGATCTGGAGGGAAATCAGTTTCCCCCTCACTTTGAGCTCAATCAACCAGTTCCTGGCAAAGCAACCAGAATCCCCAAAGGCTGGGAAAACCTCTTAGTGATGGCGCCCGGCCTCAGTTTCCCCACTGTGGTCAGGCCCAGGGACTTTCCCTCTCAGAGCTGGGCCTGGCAGTCGGGGCTATGGTTCCTAAAGTTCCCCTGCCGAATGGGTATTTGCCTGGGTGCTTGGGGAGGCAGGCACCCACCCAGGCCTCCCGCGGGACCTTGGCGTCCTGTCTCTCCCACCCACTTCCCACATCCCAACTGCAGGGCCTGGGTGGAACCCACCAGGCAACTGGAAAGTAAAGAGTTGCACTCAGAGCCTACAGGGCTGGGTAGATCGACAGCTACAAAACCCAGGTTCACGTACCACACACGATTACCCACACAGACTGAGCACTTTGGTTCTGAGCAGCTCCTGGCTCAGACTTTTTGTTTTGTTAGTCTGACAGGGTCTCATGTAGTCCAGGCTGGCCTGGAACACACTTTGTAGTGCAGGATGGCCTTCAACTCCTAATCCTCCTGAGTGCTGGGATGACAGACATGTGCCACCACAATTGAACTAACTCTGCTAATAGTTTTTTTTAAATTTATTACTGTGTATATGTGCGTGCTCACAGTATGGTACACATGTGGAGGTCAGAGGACCACTTGTAGGAGTCGGTTCTCTCCTTCCACCAAGTGGGTCCCAGAGATCAAACTCAGGTCTCCCAGTTTGGCTACAAGCCCCTTTACCTTCTGAGCCCTCTCATCAGCCCCCATTAATATTTCTGTGTGTGTGTGTGTGTGTATGTGTGTGTGTGTGCAGTTGAGTATAGAGGCCAGAGATCAACAGTGTGTGTGTGTTTTTTTAATCACTTCCTACCTGAGTTGAGACACAGTCTTCCTGTAGCCCTGGCTACACTGTGTAGCCCAGGCTGGCCACAATCTCTCAGAGATCTACCTGCCTCTGCCTCCCAAGTGCTGGGAGTAAAGGCCTATGCCACCACCCCTGTCCCACCTTATTTTTTGAGAGTCTGTTAGTGAACCTGGAGCTCACTGATTTGCCTACACTGACCAGCTGTTAGGCCCAGGACACACACACACACACACACACACACAGTGCTCATCTCCCCAGGCCTTGGATTATGACTCAGCACCATGCATGGCATTTGATGTGGGAGCACAGGATTCGAACTCAAGTCCTTGTTTGCCATGGATTTTATCCACCAAGTCATCTCCCCAGCCCCAGCCCCTTGTGTTCCCTGAAAAGCCTGGTCCCCAGAAGATGAGAGCATTGGAATTAGGTGTCAGAGCAGCTGAGTAAAGAGGGTTGATACCCAGTGGGCTTTGAAGTGGGAGACACTCCTCTCTGCTGTACCACAGCAGGCTCAGGTGAACCACGCAGCCACGCTGGGGACCGTCTGGTACCTCTGGTCCCACTGCAGCTTCCGACACACCTTGCAGAAGGCCAGGGCCCAGCTCCACAGGCGAGGCTGCAGCCTCTCCCGCCATCGGAAGTAGGTGAGGTAGCGCTGCTCATCCTTGGCCAGCTCCAGCAGGTACTGAGCCAGCTCCTGGGGACGCGGGAAGTCGTCCACGTGGATGAAGGCATCAGAGGGCAGGAAGCTTTCGTAGTTTTTCCTGCTGGGCCCCAGGACCACAGGCACCGCCCAGGCCTCCATTGCATTCCGCCACAGCTTCTCTGTGATGTAGTCTGGGTGCTGAGAGTTCTCGAAGGCCAGGTAGAATTTGTACCTGGCCAGCGTGGCCATCATGTCCCCTCGGGGAAGCCGCAGATGTCCTCGGCCATACACGTCCACGGGCAGGTGGACCTTGAGTTCCTCATAGTAGCGAACCCGAGCCAAGTTTGGACGCCAGTTGGACACGACCCAGGCCACCAACTGTGTCTTGGTGGACAGGTTGACCTGAGTGTGGACAGCTGGGCCCGACCATGGCTCCAGCCAGCCGTAGGGGCTGAAGATGTCAGAGTCCCTACGGTATGACATGGTCAGGTTGAAGTAGCCATCCAGGGCGGCCAGCCGGAGGCTGTGGCTGGGTGACTCCATGCTGAACCACACCCAGTGCTGGCCTGGTGGCCTCGGGGACTGTGGCAGCAGGGACCGGGGATTGGACATGACATCCCAGTGGTGGACGATGACGGCATCTGCCCGTGGGTACACCGCCCTGTTGGCGGTCAGCTCACAGTCAGCTGTGCCAGGGAGAATCTGGGAACAGGGGGACAGGGCTACTCGGATATGGAAGGGCCAGGTCCACAGTAAGATTAGCAGGGGACGCTGGGCCGGGGACTGCAGGGTGGACTCTGCACGTTCCCAGGCACTGGGAGCCAGGGGACCGGGGCTGTCATAGGACACTCGAATGTAGGAGAAAAAACACACAGCCAGCAGCAGCTGTAGGAGTAGCCCAGAGAGACAGGGGTGCCAGGCACAACGAGTCTTAGCTGGGCGGGGAGCATCCATTGCTCAGGGGGCCTGGAAGGAGACAAGAAGTGAGATGGGGTCACCAACCATGTCTGTAGATGAATGTGGCTTGGGAAGTTATCGTGATCAGACTTTTTACCTTTTTACCAGGGCCTCAGGTAGTCCAGGCTAGCCTCCAAATCTGTTTTTTTTTTAATATTTTATTTTTTATATATTTTTAATAATTTTTAAAATATTTTATTTTATGTGTACGAGTTTATTGCCTGCATGTATGTGAGTGCACCCGTGTCGTGCAGTGCTGCTTACATCAGAAGAGGGCTTTAGATTCCCCTGGAACTGGAGTTAAGGACGGTTTGTAGCCACCATGTGGGTGCTGGGAATTAAACCCAGGTCTTCTGCAAGAGCAGTCAGTGCTCTTAACCATTGAGCCATCTCTCCAGCCCCGACTCCAAATCTTTATGTAGCCAGGATGGCCTCAAATTCCCAAAGCAGGTGAGAATGACCTTGCCCCCCTGATCCTCCAGCCTCTGCCTCCTGAAGGCTGGGGTGAGGAATGTGCCACCATGCCCAGGTTAATCTTTCTCTCCCTTGATAAAAACTCCTATTTATAATTTCAAAATGATGGGCTGGAGACCTGGCTCAGCGGTTAAGAGCACTGGCTGCTCTTGCACAAGACTCAGGTTTGAATCCCAGCACCCACTTGGCAGCTAACAACTGTCTGTAACTCCAGTTCCAGGGGATTCGATGCCCTCTTCTGGCCTCCATGGGCATTGCATGACACAGGTGCATGATACATGCAGGCATAACACTCATACACACAAAAGTAAATAAAGGGGCTGGAGAGATGGCTCAGCAGTTAAGAACGCTGGTTGTTCTTACAGAAGACCCGGGTTTGAATCCCAGCACCCACATGGCAGCCAACAACTATCCATAACTCCAGTCTCAGGGGATCCGACAGCCTCTTCTGACCTCTGCAGGCTTTGCACGACGCGGGTGCACTTACCTACATGCAGGCAATACATGCATACACATAAAAAATAAAAATAATAAATAAAATTAAATAAAAAGTAATTTCAAAATGACAAGAGTTCTGTCCAAGTGACTCACAGCCACCTGACCTGACCCCCGGGTCCACTTCCTCCCTCATGTGCTGTAAAAATGATTCAACAACAGTGAGGGGTCCCCAAGAAAGGGAGCCCTACATCCTAACTTTGACTCCACCTTTTTCCAAACTGGTTTTCAATTTTTTTTTTTGTCTCTTTGAGGGAGGGTCTCCCTGTAGCCCCAGGTGGCCTAGAATTCTCTATGTAGACCAGGCTGGCCTCAAACTCACAGAAATCTGCCTGCCTCTGCCTCCCAAGTGCTGGGATCAAAGGTGTGCTCACCACATTCCCCAACTCATTTTCCATTTTAAAAGCCAGAACTGGGTGGGAAAGTTCACAGTGGCTT